GGTCAAATGCACTTGTATCAGACTTGTATAGTCGAGAGTTTACCACAGATGCCTACGGACTATCGTAAGCAACTTAAAGTTGAAGAAAACGCACGTGTTTTTGACAGTAAAGCACCTTATTTGGGTCATGCGTATACAGAAAAGAGACACGAATTCCGGGCCTCGTGTCGCTTCTCTGTGTTCGTATGTTCTCTGCTTCAACCTTGAGCCGAGATCTTTCGGACACTCGATTCTACAGCGAGAATAGGGGACTGCGTAGTCTATAGGGGACTGCGTAGTCTATAGGGGACTGCGTAGTCTATATATTATACGTCACCCCCTCTGTGGCTCAGTGGTAAGAGCGCCTGCCTTTAAACCTAAAGGTCGTGAGTTCGAATCCCACCTGGGTGGAAATTTTCGTTTATTAAAAAAATTAATAAATGAAAATAATTTCTATCCTTGTGTGATCGGTACACACCGGAGGGACCGCAGACGTTCGGATACAATTAGCGTCTCTTAGCAAAGACAATGACGTCGACTTTGCTAAGTATCAAGACAATTACTCTACACACACACACACACACACTACACCTCAAATTGTAAGATTGGCGAATGGATTTAGTGTCCGCAGTCATTTAAACACAAACAAACAAAAAAAATATACGTCATTGCACGTAACTATGTGAACGAAGCGAGGGGAAGGCAGAATGCTTACGTCACTCAGACGACAACGTCAAATTTGACAGTTGATGGACAGTTGGTGACAGGACAGTTGTCTTTCAATTCAACCAACCCTACTTCTTCAACTGATCAACTGTTACTTTGTGTATTGTATTGTGTATTAGTGTGTCGTGTTTGTACAAAGAAAATAAAAAAAATATAGAAAATGGATAAGTGGCTTTCCAGGGTAAATATAAAAAATAGTTAAAAGAAGTTAAAATTATTTATTTATATATAATAGAGAAATCACATAAACATGAATCATAACTGAATTTGTACCTTCTGGGAGACATGTTCAATAGTTTGAAATAATTATTTTTTGTTTTCATTAAAAATCATTTCCTATACAATAATTAATGGTTATTGTTGGATTTTTTAAATATCATATAATATAGTTTAAAATATCTTTATACTTCTTCAAAAATCAGAATTAGTAACACATACCTACCTGCTGTGAATGAGAGGTAAAGTTCAGTAGATTTTGTATGGATCTTTCAAGCTTCTTAAAATTAAATTTTGTGTTTTAATGAAGAAATTCGTTTTTTAGAGTAAACATAACGAAACAGATAAAAATAAGCAAAAGGATTCCCCAGCACCAATTGATATAGAAAAGCCAGGTTGCAGTTATCAAGACGAGGGCTCCCCTATTTATCCTGCTCCCACACATTCTCATATGAGTGACAATGGCGATACTAATAATATGGTAACATATATAAATAATTAATAATTTTAAAATTATAAAAAAACACAGACCTAAACAACTTAATTATTTATTAAAATTATATGGATAATACAATTAAACTAAACTAAAAAAACTACAAATATAAGATATAATTACAGAAATTAGGTATTACTACAGTAGTAAAATAAATTTGTATTTGAATAATATTTTATTGATTTAGATCATCTAAATTATAATTATATTTTAGAATGATCCTACAACATCAGCAAAAAAGAAAATAAAAATGGAAAAAGCCTCAAAGTGTGAAAAAAAGAAGACTTTTAACAGCTCTTGGAAAAGTGTACCACAGTTCATGAATTGGTTAGAAAAATCTACAAAACAACCATCATCTGAGGGTAATGAGTATGCCTATTGCAAGGTATGTGATTGTGATATTGTAGCTCATAAAAGTGTATTATTAAAACATTCAACAAGTGACAGGCATAAATTAAATTGGACAAAAGTGACGAGCAATATTAAACTTACTGAATTGTATAAACCAAATGCTGATGATTTAGCTGTAAAAACGGCAGAGTTAAAGTCATGCGCCTTGTTGGCAAGCAATAACCTGCCATTTTTATTAGTAGACACCCTAACTCCTTTAATTCAAAATATATTTCCTGACTCAAAAATTGCTAAACAATTACATTTAAAACGAACCAAAGCGACGTCAATTATTTGCAATAACTTGGGGAATAATTTTCTTGAAGAACTATATATTAAATTAAGGGAGCCAGGATGTTTTTTTCTTTAGTTATGGATGAAACTACTGATATTTCAATAAAAAAGCAATGTGCATTCACTACTATAATTTATGAAAATAATTCAACTAAAACACAATTTTTTGATCTTGTTGAGGCTCAGAGATCAACAGCTAATGATTTATATGGTATTCTTAAGAACTGTTTAACTTCAAAGAATATTGCACTAACAAATTTTGTAGGGTTTTCATCAGATACCACCAATGTTATGGTTGGAGAGTTTAATTCTGTACTTTCCAAGTTAAAGGAAGAATTTCCACATATAATATGTATTAGATGCTCATGTCATATGGCACATTTAGCTACATCAAAAGCCTGTTTACAATTACCTAGGCATGTGGAAGATCTGCTCCTAAACATAGGCAGTCACTTTAATAGGAGTGCTTTGAGGAGACACAAATTTATAGTTTCAAAATTTTTTTCAAGTGAAAATTCACAAGATACTCTCTCCAGCCATAACAAGATGGTTATCTATTAAAGAATGTGGCGATAGAGTGCTTGAGCAATATGAGCCACTTAGAGCATATTTGACAGAATATGTATTTGAAGACCCGTCAATTACAACAGAGACAATGTTGGAAACCATGTCAAATTTGTTCACACCAGTATATCTAGAGTTTATGTCATATTCGTTAGGACTAATGACAGACTTCAATTTACTCTTTCAGTCAGAAAAACCACTTCTTTGTAAGGTTAAGCCACAAACTGAAACTCTGTTGAGAACGCTTTGTTCCAATTTTATAAAGATGTCTGTAATAAAAAGAACCAATGATATATTTATCCTTAACCATGAAAACCCTACAAATTTTGTTAGTCTACATGATATTTATACAGTGAAAGCCAAATAAAGTTGCGTTCACGTCATCATTTTGAACATTTGCATCGTTGTCAATTGGTTTATAAAGTATGAAAATTAACAGAAAAGAACTTAAATAAACAAAAAAGGTGAAGATAGCAAATTTCACACTATATTGTTACACTTCTTGAAACTTAGCTTTATTCAACACCAACAATATAAAAATACTTTTAACTAACTGACAACTATAAACTTCTACATTCAAAATACATATTTTCCCCAACTGTCAAAAACATCTGTTATATACATATGTTCTGACGTTCCAAACTTCACTAGACATTTCAAGAATTTTCGATGTCATCTTGAATGTTTTTGAACTACTTCTTCTTTTTCGTCAATGGACTTTTCCTATGTGGGATAAATCTTTCGTAACAATATTAAGTGGAATTTAAAAATGAGTGTTTTTTTTTTCATTTATTTTTTTGTTAATTACATTCATGAATAGATTTCACAAAGTAAGTAATTTCACAATAAAAGTGGTAAAGTTATTACTGAGTTACCAAACAATAAGTTACTCGTTTATTAGTGCAACGCTTTTTCTTTGGTGACTCGAACTGTTCACCTTTTTTCTACATTTGATATATGCACATTGCTGTTTACTGTTCTTACGCTGATTTTTAAAGCAGCAGCTACACGCTAAAATCATACAAATTTTTGTAAAGTAAAGTAATGATATTCTATTCATATTACCTCTTGTACAGCGTTTAAGGGTAACAAAGATCCCAATCCCCCAAATTAATAATCCTTTCTTTTTCAAAATAGTTAACTAATGAAGCCACAAGTTCTTTGCATCGACTATTTAGCTGTTTGGGCATTTTGACAAGTAAATAAATGTTTTTCACAAGATAACCTCAAAAACCGACGATACCACGAGTACAAAAGTCACAGACCAGTGATTGAAAATTCAACAAACGACGCGGCAACATGACAATATTTCTGGTAGTGACTAATACTCCGTCAATAATTGGTGGTTTCTTCATGAACATTTCAACACAAAATTTTACAATGACGGACTTCTAAATCCAAAAAAGCTATATATACATAACTGTATATACATTATTTTTTTACAAAAGTTTTTTTATTGATCTGGTTATTTTTAAAAGTGATTGTTTAGCAAACTAAAGTAACATACACTTTTCTATAGAAATGTAGCCACAAATACAATAGAATTACGACATTGGTGACATGCACGCAACTTTATTTGGCTTTTAGTGTATAGGAATTGCTGCAACAGAAAGCTTGCAAGAATTAAAAAAAAGCCAAATATGAACAAACAAGAATTTGATAGTTTTTTTTAATGTATTTTAGAATTCTATATAGAATTAGTTAGTAATATTAAAAATCGATTCACCTTTAAAGACCCTATCTATAAAATAATTTCAATATTGGATCCCAAAATTGCACAAAGTTTTGAAATAAAATCATTACAATGTGTAACTAATCAATTTCCTATTTTAAAAGAATATATTAATATTCAGGAGTTAGATAATGAATGGAGAAGACATGCTCTATTAGACTTTGAAAAATTAAATTTAAATTCAGATGACTGTGAGCAATATTGATCTCAAATATTTAATTTAAAACATGATGCTAATGCTTTTTTATTTCCGAATTTAAGAAAGACGCTACAGCTACTTTTTGTTTTACCATTCTCTAATGCCAGTGTAGAACGTATATTTAGTGATTTGTTTAACATAAAAAGTGACAAACGGAATTTATTAAACACTTCAACTGCAAAAGCTATTTTGGCAACCAAAGCAGGAGTTGAAAACAATGGCGGTTGCTTAAAATTCATACCATCCAAAAAAATGCTAGGCCATAATATATGGAAAGACAATCAGTAGCTTGTATTTTAATATAGTATTTTTTTACTTTAAGTATATGTTTTTATTTAAGATTTTTTGTTAAATAGAATAATTTACATTAGGAGTTTAAAATATGTAAGTACTATTTATAACTGATGATTAAAGTTAGATTATTACAAAAGTTGTATATTTTTGAAAATTTCAAATTTTGATCCTATTTTTCAATTCTAAAGGTACATTTTCTTTGTTGAAATGAATAACAGGAGCATCATTGTTATACCTAAAAGCATGTAAGTAAATCCTTCCACAATAAATTTTCTGTCGGAAACATAGAAAAATACCATGGTTGATGAAAACAGGTTCATCAATTTCTTCTGATACAGTGCATAGGGTATTCTAAAATAAAAAAAAGTTAAACTACATAATTATAAAAATAAGTATACTAAGTATTTAGGAAAGAGTCATAATTATAACTTTTGGTTTCAAAAGTGCAGTTCCCAGTTGCCACTTTAAAAATGTAACAATTCCTAGAGCATATTTTCCTATGTCTACGATGGTAGAATAATTCTTATTCTTAGTACCACACAAGCATTAAAAAGTAAACAAATTTCACAATAAAATGAATTGTAGTCAAATATAAACAAAAAATAATATATAATTGTATACTCACCTAATAAAATTATTCCAGTCCAGGTGCACTATATTGCTAGTTTTTAGGTTATAATCGTGTACCAGTACCACACATTTTCTTTTTCTTATCTTTATCTTTCTGTTAACCTCAACACTAAACAAATAAAAACTAAAAACCTCCATTCAATATTCAATCCTACTTATTTCATGATACAAAGAAAAGAAAAGATATGATCTTGCGCATGAGGGCGGAGTTGTCGTTTATAGTGTGACGTAATGTGGAGAGGTAAAGCATAATCTCAACCTCTAGTATTTGTATTGTTGTGAAGTGTAGAATTATCATTTAATTTTTGTAAACGAAAGATACTCTTTTCGTTATTTAAAGATGAGGTGTTCAATAGCTAGGTGTAATAGTGATAATCAAAGTAAAGTGGTTCAGAAGGATATTATGTTTTTCCGGTTCCTAAACGATCCAAAGATTGTAAAAATTTGGGTAGAGACATGTAAACGAAAAGACTATTTTATTTCTAAAAATGGAAGGATTTGCTCAAAACATTTAACTGCACATAGTTTCGAGATTTAAAATCTGAACTTATGGGAGTGTCTTTTAAAAATCACTGTCTTTTAAAAAAGATGTAGTGCCTATATTATATTTACCTTTTCGAAACCAGTGGAAAGCAAGAAAGATAGATAGATGTATTAAAAAATATGATACTTCTTATACAATTAATGATATTGAATTGTCTTATGTAAAGACAATAAAATACTTAGGAGTCACATTTGATGAACAGTTTCGTTTTGTACAAGATATAAATGACATAACAGTTAATTCATATAACACTTTAAGTTTTATCATTCGCAACTGTCTGGGACTATCTTTTTGGACTTTAAGAACAGTTTATTATGCTTTAGTCGCATCTAAAGTGAAATATGCGTCTACTGTATGGTCTCCACAATACCAAGTCCATTCTACTACATTGGAGAGATTGCAGAACAAATTTGTATGATATTGTGCATATAAATTAAACATACACCTTATTAGTCATAATTATGCAGATATTTTAATAACACATGAATTTATTAAAAACCTGACGAGATGACTTTGATTTAGTATTTGTGTTTAAATTAATAAATGTTTTAATTTGTTGTCACTGAACTTATCCAATCTATAAGTTTATATGTTCCCTCCAGAAATCTCAAACATGTTGATCTGTTTTATATACCTTTTCACAGTACAAATTATGGTATGCATTCGCCCATTAAGCGAACACTAAAAATTATAAATAGGAACAATTTAGAAATATTTGGTGTCTTCTTGGCTTCATTTAAAAATCGGATAAAAAGCTTGACAAGTTATAGGCACTTTTTTGTTCAATTCATTTTGTTTCATATATAATTAATATTACTTTAATATTTATATATAATTAATATATAATTAATATTAATATTATTATAACGGGGGTAATTCCGTATATTAATAAATAAATAAATATGTTTAATTTATTAAATCGGTTCGTCACAGTTTTTTCAATCGTCTTGCAAATCCGGAAGGAGCGTGCAGTCTTGCTTCATCATTTGGATGATTTCTCAGTCCATCAAAGTAGCAGAGTCCTAGCGTAGGATTTTAATCCTTACATACTAGGGCCCGTTGAATATAATTCTCAATATTTTTGATTGGACTTGTTACATATGAGACAAACAAATCAAATATGAAAATTAACACTGTTAAGTACAAGAATAACTACTGATTTCATCTAGATTTGGTGGCCTTACACAGTATTTGAACATTTAAACATTTAACAATGAAAATATGTTATCAAAAGAATGGCTGATTATATCTTTATAATATGTGTTTTTGCCCCTCATATTTTTGTATATTGTATGGACTTATTTTAATAAACTAGGTACCATTTAAAATTATTGATATGTTTAATTTCTGTCTAATTTTTAATATCAATGAAATGTAAATACATGATACAAAAAAAATACTCTTCTTTATTTTTATTATAAGCGAAATGAAATCATGCTATAACTACAAATAAAAGAATTTTTATTTTGAATTTCAGCAGACTTACAATAATTAGTTTTAAATACGAAAGTTGACCAAAGCCTTCAATTAATAGCCCTGGCACCGGATTAACAATCTTAGCTATTTAGCTCCCGGTCCCAAAAAACGCTTAATCCGGCACGAAATATCAGATTTCTCATAAAAATAATAATAAAAACAACAAATTATAAATAATAAAATATTAAAGTGATGAAATTATGCAGTCCTTCCATGTACCTTAAGAATGTACCTCTCCGCATGACGTCACTGCGTAGAACAGACGAACTTTAGCACGCTATCGATCATACCTTATTTTTGTTGTACCATGTACTTATTTTCTTTAGCATGACAGATGACAGTAAGGACAAGGTTTGTTTTATGTTTGGTGATTACTTCTACCTCACAGAATAATAAACAATCAGAAGGGCCACTCTCAGATGCCGCCTTTGAAGTTTTTCAGCACGCGCGCCATGTTTTAGGAGGACACAGACATATGATTTGTGTGGTTATGTAATTGTTTATATTTATGTTTAATTATATTATATTTATGTTATTATATTTAACAATGTTAATATAATTGTATAGTATGTCTATGATTGCCGTAAGTCAAATAAACCTGGTTAATTTTTCCATGCACACCACATAAACAACACTAATTTCTTTAAAATCCTCCTAAAACATGGCGGAACATCTGCGCGGAGGAGATGCGCGTACTTAATTTTCCGTGGAGAGTGGGTATTCTGTTTGTTTATTATTCTGTGTCTACGTTTTACAACAGAGCGCATAATTTTGTACAAAATCGCATAATTTTTGACAGGGAGGTGCATCCTTCCATGCCCAGCCACTGGTAACACTGGTCTGTCTGCACGCTATTATTTATCTATGGTCTGCACGTCTGAGTTTAAGTTCACGTTTGTATTCGTATATTTTTTTGTGGAATTTTCCTATAGTATCATTAGTTCGTTTATTTGTTTAGTTTTTATTTTTAAGTATAGGTATAAGGACAATATTATTTATAGAGACTTATTATTTAGTTATTTGTGTACATAAACACTTGTGAAGTGTGTTGTCGTAGCTGTGTTTTATTTATCAGACCGATAAACCCAGAAATTAAAAAATAGTTTCTATTATTTAAAAATTCACGGTCATGAACTAACAAACCTATAGCCTGAAGATTTGTGCTTGAAGGACTAATCATGTTTTGTATTTTAATCTAATAATAAATTATTTATATTACCTATTTGTTTTTTTTTTGTCTACCACTAGATTTGATAAGAATGCTGCAAATTGCAGGAAAAACATAATAAGTAAGTTCCTACATATTTAGTATTTTTGCTTTTGAACTTTTTTTACTGTTTTTTTGGCTTTTTCTGCGAAATAAACTGTTATCTCCATTTAAAACACACAATATTATCAATATAATCAATTCTATTTTTTGTCATCAGACTATTGATTTAAAAAAATGATATAATTACTAATATAAGAACTACTTAACATCCCTATACCCAAGAAAATCGCAAAATATATTGCAAAACCCATGATACTATGACTATAAGATAAGATATTGAGCATGTTTTTGTGACGTCATTGGAGAGTTGCACGTTTGAAATGTCAGTTTTTTGTATATATCAATAAATAATCTTTAATAAATAGTTTGGAGATATCCTTATGTGTACTATTATTGTAATTATTAAACCTCTTAACTTATTTTCCTCTAGTAATTTCATCACAGAATGCATACAAATCCCATTTAACTTTAACAAGATTTCAAATTCTAGTCTCCAATGACGGCATGCGCGAACCCGACCGATTTTGAGCTACAGGAAGATCCTATCTTCTAATTCATAGTATCATGGCAAAACCCAAGTTTTTGAAACTTTTATTAGCATTGACGCTTATTCGCTCCGTGGGTCTCCCCTCTATTTACAGTCACGTGACACGCTGTCAGATTTGTGAGGACGTTTTAGTATTGAGTCTTATGGGATTATTTTGTTAAACTTAAATATTTTATTTTATATTGTTATTATCCGGATACAATTTTTAGAATTAATTAGTTATCTATTTATAGTGACATTTATAGGTCAACAAAAATATTTTTTGTCGTTAATAAAGATTTATTAACATAATTTACGAAAGTGAGGTTATATATACATGATCAACCAATGATCAACATCCATGGTACAATGAATATGTTCATTGTACGATGCACAAAAGCGTCCTAATAAAATTTCAAGCAATCGCCACCATGAGCAGGTCAGTCGATGGTGCTTTGACACTTTGTTAACCCTCGGAGCGAATGGCAATTTTAAAAGTGTTGTATGGGTGACGTATTCCCGCCTTTAAAAAGCGAGCATTTGATTGGTCTATAGTTACGAGACAACCTACTTAAATATCTACTAACCTTGGTACATATTCAACATCAGTGCATTTGATTCTGTGGCATTTGCATGTCATTTGGTTTGCATACACTGTACTGCCACAGAATAATAAACAATCAGAATGCCCACTCTTCATGGAAAATTAACTACGCGCATCTCCTTCGCGCAGACGTTCCGCTATGTTGTAGCGATGTTCTCATCGTTTAACAGTTTAAACCGTGGGAGCGCCAAATGGCTATGTATGCCTTGATTTTTGGAGCTTTACGGAGTGAAGTGAAGTGAGTGAAGGGTCCACCATAATCTACACATATTTTTTGAAAAGGTCTTGTTGTAATAGACAA